GGGAGGACTGGGATAAAAGTGGGGACCGTAAAATAATGGGGATAACCTGGGGTGATAACGATGATGGGGTAAAAAGCATGCCAGAAAGAGAAGACCATACCCAAGTGGACATTCCGATCCACCATGCCTATTGCCTGCACGAATGCATCCCAAGGGTTCAAGAGTTTTTTGCCCACCGCCTGTTGCACAGGAAGTCACCCGGACCGATGAAACCCACCTCCACTGATGTGGAGTGCCTCCATAGCAGCCTTGACATGGAGAATGTCAAACAAGCTGGCCTTGCCATTTTGGACACCGGAGCCAGCCGAAGCGTAGTAGGACACGATGTCTTGCCACATGTGTTGAAAAGCCTGCCGCCCTGTGTTCGAAACCAGATCAAAGAGAAATCAAGTAACATAGGATTCAGGTTTGGAAACCACGGGTTTCAGACTATGACCGAGACCCTTCCCGGAGGTCCCCACCAAGAGGCAGATGCAAGTGCACCTTTTCACTCCAAGTTGGGCTCGGTAAATTGAGCCAGTCAGTTGATTGGCCCTTGAGCCAATTGAATGGCTTGGCTTGAGCCATAGTTGCAACAGTCGGAGGACGTCTCAACGACTGAAAACTTTAAAAAGACCTTAGTGGGGGTGCAGTGGTACTCTGTGCATGTTTCCCAAACCGCACTCCCCCTTCCTGCTTGCAGGAATCCAGGTTCCCCAACACCAAAAACAAAAGCTTCAGGGGTGGCCACGTTTCCTCTGGGAACTCGCCCTTCGCCCAGCCAGAAGGGCGAAGACCCTCGTGTGCCATAGTCCCAGGCTGGTGTTGGTTCCCCCTTCATCCAAGGGTCGCGTGGAGTTCCACTTCGGGTTGACTCCAAAAATTGAAAAACTACAGCCCTAACTTCGTAGGTTTTGAATTCCCTCTCTCACCAGCGCTGTCCTCGAAGAGCGCCCAACGGTGTTCTTTGGGTCCAGCAGCTGATGAGCTTTTCCCTGTATTGGTCTTTTCCCCCGGCAGCTAATGATCTTTTCCTTGGGTCTTGTTGATCTTTTTCTCCAGCCACCGATGTACTTTTCCGTGTGACCTATTTCCTTTTGGGTGAGCTTTTCGCTACATCTCTTGGGTCTTGTTTGACAAGGAAAACGGTGTATCCCACCCACTTGTCTTCGACCCACTTGGTCTCCCAGTCAAAATCCAAGATTATTTTTCGCTCGTTGCTGTCCAGGGTATTCCACAAAAATGTGACCCGGTAAGGATCCAACTGGTCGACCTTTTTCGGTAAAGTGGGGTGATCTGGATGAAATGAATTCTGTCTCCATTTGTAATGGATTCTTGTGATGATTCGTCCATAGTCCCCAGGGGCTGGAACATGCCACATGTCAATGGCCTGACCCTGTTCTTCAAAGCCTGTTACGGCCGGCTGCTTTGTCATCCATGCTGTGCCCTCTCCAGAGATGATATATTCCACCTCACGCATGACCACCTCAGGCATGTAAACTGTCCAGCTGGCTGGGTCTTCAGGACGTCGAATTAAATCTTGTCCCGGACGAATCCTTGGTCTTTGGGCCGGTGGCGGAGTCTCCGGCTCTGCTGGCCTTCTTGGTGTCTGGGAAGACTCAGTGTCCTCCTCCGGATGCTCCTTGTACCACTGTTCCCATTCAGCCTCGGTGTATTTGTTCTTCTTCTTCTTCTTTTTCTTTTTCGGTTCCCATTTGTCACCCCATGCACCATCCCACCAATACCATTCTCCTCCATCCACTTCATAGTAAGCCGCTGCCTTAGGAGCTGTCTTAGAGGAGGAGGCTCGGGTCGTTTCTGCAGGTTTTTCCTTTGGCTCTGCAGGTATTGCCTTTCCATAGACTGATCTCATCCTTGCAAGGTAATCAGCCATTTTTTCTCCTTCTCTCTGTTCCTTCCATTTTCCCCACTCTTCATCATCGGTGGGTACTTTTTCCTCTTCCTTGGGAGTTGGCATCGACGGTTTTTTCGGTGGCGGTCTCCCAGGGGCTTTCATTCCCTCTGGCAGCGGAGCTATCGGTCCCTTTGGGACCCTTTCCGAACCTCGCGATTCGGCTGTAGAAGGGCCAGGGCTTTTTTCACTCTCCGATCGCCTTGTTGTCGATTCCTTTTCCCTGTGTGGCGACCTAGATCGCCCTGTTTCACCCCGTCTCCGACGGTCTCTTCCCCTTTCCCTTTTGTCATGGGCGCGATCAGCATCCCTCTCTTCGGTTTTTCTTCTTTTTTCCCTTCGATGATCTTCTCCCGGACGTGGTTCTTCTTCCTGATGTTCATCTTTTTCTACAGTTGGCGCCGCCGTGGAATGACCTTCTCCCCCACGTACATCTTTTTCTCGATCTTTCAGGGCCAACTTCACCATCAGTTCAGCTTGTTCCACCATTTGTCGATTGAACTGAGGAACCACCAGGAGTGTCAAATGGCTCATAAGCCATCGGAAAACTTCCCACACCAGGATGACCATCATGGCATAAAGTATGCCAAAAAACTGACCAAAGACGCCTTGCGAAACATCTTCACCGTCCATAGCTGTCACTGGTGCAGCAAGGCAGACGAGGACGCTTTTGAGCCCAATACTTTTGGAAAAATAAATTGCTGCGGACAACCCCAATTCCCTAACGGAAAAACACTTAAATCCCGTTGGTTGCGGAGCTATCCCCTTTGAGGTTTCAGGATGGTTTTTCCCCTTACCTACCACATTAGAATTCCCCAAAAACCCAATTCCCCAAGTTGCAACCAGATCCCACGGTTCTGTGGAACCCGACCTTGGTACAACTTCAGCAGCTCGATGTTCTTCTCAATCGGACCTGGCACAATCCAAGTCCCAAGGTTTCTCTTGTCCATCACCCAGGATGGTCTTAGGGATGGGTTCTTCTTTTTCATAACTGTGCAATTGGGCAACATGACCGTGGTGATCTTGTACCCGCAAAACTTTCAAAACTGGTGGATTTTCATCCCAAAAATAAACCCGTTTAGGTTTTGGGTTACCCCTTTTGGACCTAGTACCCCGTTTTAGAATACCCCTAGGTTCTTCTTCTACAGGGTGTTCAACTTGTCCAGGAATGTTCTTCTTCTCCAAAAACGGTAAGACCGACTCCAACTGGAACCGATCCTTGACCACTGATTCAGTGACGCGATACGCATCAGCCAGTACTTGCACCAGCTTTCCAATGGCAGTGCTCAGGGCTTCATGCCGGAATTCGGCTAGTTCTGGATATTCCTCGGCCAGACCAACCACCTTTTTCACCACTGACACGCACCGACCAGCGATGTCTCGGTAGTTGTCCCAGGAGGAAGTCTCCTGGTCTGGTTCTTCTGGACGTTGTTCTTCTCCCAGAGGTTGTTCTGCACGATGGTTGGACCCCATTGATGTTTCCTCATTTGGAACCCCGGAACCTTGGTGATTGACGAACCTCCAGAACCTTTCCCAACTGGGCTTCACAGCGATGATCTTCGTCAGGAAATCGGCCACAAGTTTTACCCCTGGAAGGTGACGGATGATCCAACTACCATCCTTTAACCGCTCCCTTAGGGCTGTTGCTCGCAACCGCAAGTGTCGAGTCCTCCACGGACCGTGAGGATTTTCCAAGATGGCTATTGCAGCCGTGTTGTCTCCGTAGATGATCTTCTGCCCGATTTTCCGTCCTTCCACGACCTCTATGAGAGACGCCAGAGAGTCTCCCATGACCATGGATTCCAAGTAGGACATCAGTTCCCCTTCGGCGGTGCTCAACACCACAAAAGCTTGACGGCTGGCTTCCCATTGAACCAACCCTCCACCATAAAAACCTAGGATACCCTGCAGTGATCTTTCGCCCGCAGGTGCAAATGAAATGTCCGAGAACATTTCGACTTGCTGCATCTCCCGGTGAAATGGCAGGTCATCTTCGGGACCCCGATCATCACTTGTGCAAACCCCATAGCTGAGATGTTGAGTTTCGGTTCCCTTCAGGTAACCAAACACCTGTTGTGCGGTTTTCACCACCCATTTGGGCCGTTTGTTCACCTGTCTTCCCAATTGGCTGACGGCGAAACTGATATCCGGCCTTGTCCTTATGGACAACCACAGCAACTCGCCCACCACCGTTTGAGCTTGTCGGATGTTTTCAAGTGCTGGTTGTTCTTCTTCCGGAAGTTCGGCATCCGCTTTCGTCATCGGAACCGGTCTTGGGTGTTCTACTTGATGTCGATTCAACAGATCCCGAGTGTAGGACTGCTGTCCCACCTTCAACTTCTTGTGATCCCCTTGACCGCTCCATTGGAGCTCGAACCCACAAAATCGAACCCAGCCTTTGTGATCAACTTCTTCAGGAGTGGAGCAAGTCCATTCTTCCTTCAGCCTCTTCAAGAAGCTGTGTTTGGCGTGAGGATCCGCAAGAACCATAAGATCGTCCACATAGACGACCACCAAACCCACTTGCCGATATCCATCAGGACGTACTTCTTCTCCCGGAGCGTCACCACCTTTACACAGGATTCTCCACAAATTTCCTTCCGGCGTTTGTTCCAGCTTGTACTCCTTCTGCATCTCCCCCGGGCTTGCATCTCCCTGCCATGTGAACCGCCGCATTGTTTGGTCGCGGTACACTGCCCAATGGGCAGGACTGGATTGAAACCCATACAGGGCCTTGTCGACAAGCCAGACCTCATCCGGTTGGGTAATCCCAAAATCAGTCATGATCCTGGGCGGCACCACCGCCACGGTTTTGGCACCTTGTTCCACCGGCCGAGGAGCCAGTAGAAAGGCGGTCTTGATGTCCGTCGTGGCTACATCCCATTGGTGATGAGCTGCCTTTCGCAATGCACACCTTATCAGACCCCCGTCCGCTCCACTGGCATACAGCAGAGAGGAAGGCATGGGATCCGCTTCCGGTGATGCCAAGTTGCCGCAGATCACAGCGCGACATTTGTATCTCCCTCCAGCCTTGATCACACAGACCAATTTCCCCGGCACCAATTCGGCTTCAGGGTCAATCTCGGATCTTTTGACTGGTCGGATAGCTTTTGT